AAGATGGAGACATAAAAAAGACCATAACGGATGTCAGAAGAGACTCTGAATATTGCACTAGAGCACCACAAAGCCAAAGTACAGGGTCTAACTCAAGATATTAAACAGCTGAACATAAGATTTCAAAAGGCAGGACAGGAAGACAAAGTAAAATATTACAATGAAATGTGCAAAGAGCTACAATCAGAAAATCAAAAGGGCTGAACTTGCTCAGCATTTCTTAAGATCAAAGAATTTAAAAACAAATTCAAACCTAGAGTTCACATACTTAAGGATGCTTTGGGCAGAATATTAAATGATACAGGAAGTATTAAAAGAAGATGGAAACAATATACACAGTCACTGTACCAAAAAGAATTGGTAGACACAGAATAATTTCATGAAACAACATATAAGTGAGAGTCTATGGTGATGAAGGAAGAAGTCCAAGCTGCTTTGATGGAATTGGAAAAAATAGATGGTATATCAAATGATATCAAATCCATAGCTGTGCTCACCAAACTGTGCCAAGAAATCTGGAGGACAGCCACTTGGCCAACTGACTGGAAGAGATCTATATTTGCTCCCATTCCAAAGAGAAGTGACCCAACAGAGTGTGAAAATTATATAACAATATCATTGAAATCATATGCAAAAAAAGATTCTGCTGAAGATTATCCAGAAACAACTGGAACAGCACATCAGCAGAGAGCTGTCAGAAGTCCGGGCTCGGTTTTGAAGGGGTCATGGTATTAGGGATATTTACTGTAGCTAATGTTTTGTATTGTAGCTAATGTATTATAGCTAATGTAAGTCGGGAACAAAGAGGAAGATTCAGTAGTTGGAAAACATGGACTGGTGACAGAAATGGAGCTGGAGAGAGAATGATCGAATTTTGCACAATCAATGACATATTCACAGCAAATACATTTTTTAAGAGGCATAAACGCAGGCTATATACCTGGATTTCACATGATGGTATGCATAGGAATCAGATTGATTACATATGTGGAAAGAACCGCTGGAGAAGCTCAATATCAGCTGTGAAAACTAGGCCAGGAGCTGATTGTGGAACAGACCACCAACTACTCATATGCAAATTCA